TGCTGGAGAACATGATCATCATGCTTTACACAAACTTGTGGAATTCATGCAACTCAAGTGCTGCTGCCAATAAAGCAAGAGAAACAAACTAAATACTAAGACATTCTGAAAATCATGTAAAAAAAAAATTCAATTAAGTTTTACTCAAATTGTTAGCTGATAATATAATTTGAAAAGAAAATGTACATTTAGAATAAAAATAATTAAATTGGACAAAAATTATGCATTATATTATATACTGTAAATATAAAAACAGTAGCTTTTCATCAGACTTTTAAGCCACACTGTACACATTACAATATAATGAACTAAAATATTTGCCAAAGATGTTGGACAGGAATTGCCTGGCTCTGTTACAAATTTTTTTCTTTAATCAAGCAGATCGCGCGCGCGCGCACACACACACACACACACACACACACACACACACACACACACACACACACACACACACACACACACACACACACACACACACACACACACACACACACACACACACGGTTCACTATTCTTGTGGGGACTCTCCATAGGCGTAATGGTTTTTATACTGTACAAACTGTATTTTCTATCAAACCTACCCCTCACAGAAAACTTTGTGCATTTTTACAATCTCAAAAAATCTCATTCTGTATGATTGCCAAGTGCACTTGAATAAAACAGACCTGTCTGCTGCATTCAATGGAAGAATGGAGAGGAATGCACCCAAGAACACTTACAATGCGGCTACAGTTAACCGTTACATCAACGCAGTTGTATTGCTTGTTTTATCTGCTGTGACTTTCCGGTCTTGGTTAATTTAAGAGGTTTTTAGAGCAGTTCAGACCATCTCAAAGGTCTGTGGTTTTATTCTCTTGTAACATTACAAACTCAAGGTTCACTGTGACACATTTGTGTGACACTACAAATAAAAAACGTAGCAGTCACAGGTTACCATATCAAGCTATGCCACACAACATCACTAGGATGTTGAAAAAAAAAATCCTTTTGAGATGCAATTATGTGATTCACAACTAGTCGACACAGGCCCTAAAACTAAAGCAATCAACTAGTAGCTGTTTCTGAAAATTGTTCACAAATAAATGTAAAGAGATTAACAAAAATAAAACATTGACAAATAAATAGAATGAGCTCCACAAATAAAACTTCACAAACATGTTTCACAAACATGAACTAAATTCACAAATAAATAAAATGAGATTTGCAAATAAAATCCATTTTCACAAATATCTTTTTATGTCACAAACACAACTTTGCCTGGCATTCATTTGTGGATCGCTCCCTGTACATTTGTGAATGGCTTTCTGTGGAGGCGAAGCGTCCAAACTCGAAAGCAAATAAAAAATCATTATAATCAGCGATACGGTCTACACTGGACGGAGTGCGACATGATGAAGGACAAATGATTAGCACATTTGCTTTGATGAGTCCCGTTGCAGTTACAGCTGTTGCATAGCAGCGTGAGAGCGGACGGGTAGACACGGCATTAGACATATCATAATGGCTTATTCAGCCTTTTAAAGCACAATTGTGGTGACAAATAGGCATAACAACACGTACAAAAATGGGCCCAAATGACCATCTGGGTACCAGCCTCAGCATCACTGCAGCGTGTACCGGGGATTTGTGAGTGGACGATGTAAATAAAATAACATGCATTTACTTTGGATGCTGTCAAGTAACTTTTACAATCAAAACTAGTAAGTCTGATACATATGAAATATTGTTTGCTTGATCAAGTGTTTTAACCAATAAATATCTCGTCTTGCATTTATATTCAACACACCTGCACCACATTTAAAAAATAACCCACGTATATTTTTTCCTCTCCAAACAATGGCAATAACTTAATGTTTGAAAATATTATTTATAATGCTTTATACAAAGCATTATAAATCCACATAGCTGCTCATATATTTTATCATACATTTTTGTTAATCTCTTTACATTTATTTGTGGATCATAATCTATTTATTTGGAATTATGCAACAATTCTATCTCCATACTTGCGAGTACCATGAAAATGTCAAAATAACGATTCATTCCTGTAAGTGTGATATGTTAGAATAACAATTCAACTAAACAGATTTAATGGTGTGGCATGTCTTTTAACTCTTTTTCATCATAATCTTTTTCCCCTTTCTCAGCGCTTCAGGCAGCAGTCAGAGATCAGTGTGAAGTGGCCCAGAAGTGTGTTCAGGTGTGCTTTCTCTCAGGCGTCCCCCTCTCCTCTGATGTAGTGCCGTTGGCTATGGTTCCCCTCGGCTTTGGGTAACCCTGAGCCTCTGGGGTTTGATCTACTCCACTACCCTACATGTAGAGGGAAAGAGCTGATAAAAGAGCCCACTTGATTGGCCACTCAGGCCGGGTGTGAAGGACACACATGAGAGGAAGTGGCTACTGTTACACAACGCCAGATGATGGGATAAAAACCTTGGATGCATTTGAGAGTATTTAGACAACGCCAACAAAGTATGCGAACAGAGCATTCTCATATTGGTGTACAGACAGTATATCAATAAATAGCAAAAATAAAATTAACTTGTATTATACTACGGGGCCGTTGAATGCTTGAATCTGATTGGTTGACGAATGTTCTGAGGTGTGCAATTATTTTCAGGGAAACGCACGGTGAACGTAGTTCCAGGCAGCTCTCTTGACCGCATTACAATTCCATATCACTTCATATAGTTTACTGTAATAACGGAAATTAACATACAGTACCTATACAGCACACAGGAATTACTGCAATCCCACGTGCTCGCACACGCACACTACGGTCACACAGTTTGCACAAAAAGGTGTTGTCAGCACTGCCCTGACGATTTGATCAGTTAGCCTATATAGTGTAGCAACTTAAAGGCTACACATGACATTTCTCACTAGCGAGGTAATAACAGCGCTGTTTAGAGACGCTGCTGCAGAACACTGTCGAGGGACGCACAGATGTAGCCTAATTCACACAAGCTCTCTCTCTCTCTCTCTCTCTTTCTTTCTTTTTCTCTGTGTGTGTCTCTCTCTCTCGCTCTCTTTCTAATAACTTCATTAATAACTGCATTAGAATGCCATCAACGGCTCAAGCCTCCATTACCAGCTTTAAAATTAGGTTTTGGAACTAGCAAAAGAGGCGTTGGATGAGATGCGGAAGAAATAATCCTACTCACAATAGCGATTTAAGCACAAAAACCGGACGAATCCCTTTAAATATATCATCTGATCCATGTCTTGAGGTGTGGTAACCATAGTATAAGCGGAATAATTGACTCCGGGCCGTTGAATTATTAAAAAATAATGCACACTCAACTGTAACGACCACTGCTTCGCGGCCGCATCACCACCTCGGGTATGCATTATTTTTCTAATAATTCAACGGCCCGTCGTCAATTATTCTTTACTTCCCTTTGAATGAAAACTATACAAAACTATTATAAACACACACGTATTCTGTCTAGACCCCAGGGCTTCTGAACTCTCTGCTCACACAAGCAGTTGTAGATGTTTTTAAACTGCTCTTCCTCACAGGTGACACAAATAGGGCCTATTATGCCTCATTAGTAGATTATGAGGTGAGAAAAGAGCAGAGACCTGTGGTGCCCCGAGGCCTTATGGAGGTGTAGAGTTTCCAGCCCCATACTCACCCTAATGAACACACACAAACTCTTAATGCTCAGATTATGGAATAGATAGTGTAGAGCCCCAGGCAAGAAAAAGGGTGGTCTGTGTATTTTATATCACCGGACACATCCAGAGCCCCAAGGATAAGGATGGGCTATGTGTGTGTTTTTAGCTTAGTATAGTTTGAGGCAAATTTGCTTAAATAAAGAGAGTTTATTCCTGTGATGGCAAAGCTGAATTTCCAGCAGCCATTACTCCAATCTTCAGTGTCACATTATTCTTCAGAAATCACTCTAAGGCCATGTTCACACTGCAGCAGAATACAGTATACAAGAGAGTCACTCTGTGTCGCACATAGGCATGTCAAGGGAATGTTGTGGGTTTTCAAATGTGGTTTGTGCATGACAAATTTTCCACTCTCATTTGGGAATAAAAACTGCTGTTGGTTTATCAGAATCAGAATCAGAAGAGCTTTATTACCAAGTATGTTTACACACACAAGGAATTTGACTTGACGACAGGAGCTTCCAGTGTAGAAGAAAGTACAAACATAGTGCAGACATACATGATAGTGCAGACATACATAGGAATAACACAGTAGGGATGTAATATAAAACTAATATAATAAGAAAAAAAGAAAAATTGAATAATGTACTATATACAGGAAAAATGTTGTCCGGGATGTGCTGCTTAATGTTAAGGAGTTCGTCTCTGGTAAAACTTATAGAAGAAGAATGACAAAACACAGAACAAACAAACAAAAACAATAGAAGAATTGCAGAGCTCAGTGTCCTTGCTGCCATTTGCGGCGCCATGCTGGGTTATGAAGATTCGATTGATAAACGCACACATTGATTGGACTTTTGTGTCAAATGTGACAATACTTTTCAGTTTTATGAACATCACCATCTTTGATTTTACTTTAGTCACTGTCGCTACAGTTACAGGTGACAGACTTGAACAGAATGAGCTTGACTCCTGTTGCATGTTCATAAAGACAGTATTTGAGCAGCTACTGTAAGCTGCTTTGTGAATAGGTCATTTTGAGCCCTGCAAGTAAACGGGTCTGTCAATCCCAAACACTGAGAGTGTGAACATAGACTAACATGCTGATTTAGTGCTCAAAACAACAACAACATCATTTCTTTTTATTATCAGTGTTGAAAACTGTTCTGCAGCTTATTATTTTGGTGTAAACCGTGATAATTTTTTTTCAGGATTCTTGTTAGAAAGAAAATTATGATAGAAAGTAAGTTAAGACAGAAATAATTTTTTTGTAACATTATAAATGTCTCTGCTCTCACTTCTTATAAATTTAATACATTCTTTAAAAAAACAGCAAAAACCAGTAGTGTAAATAACCATGTTTGTGCTGTATGTTTTACCTCTCCTGACATATCCGGGGCCAGAGGAATCAGAGGCCATAGTGAGGAGTAGATGCCAAAGAAGACTATCCACAATCCAATGCTGCCCCAGATGGCAATGTGACTGAACTATAAGCCAAAAAAGATTAGAGAAAACACACAGTGAGTTGAGGAGATACGTCATTCTGCTGATAATACTGGCAGTCTGACACTCAAACAGCAGAAAACCTCATCTGAAAGACGTATTATTTATTATTATAATTTTAAACTAGTGACATACATAACCCTTAACACACATGAATTTTACATGAACACATGCTAAATCACAAATGTGCACATATGGGAGCATGTTACACACATGTGTTTTTGTTTAATCACATCAAGCATTTGAGGCTTGAAATTTGCACATGTGAAACATTGGAACCACATGTGAATGCTCCAAAACCACACAAACATTGTGAGATTTTGTGAAAATTACACTTGCAAAAATAGAGTGCAGTGAAAAAGACTGAATTTTTAACATGTATGCATTTAACTTTTTTTATGGCATACATATATAGTACACACACACACACAGGTTTGTTTTTGTGAAAAGTGGGGACATCCCATAGGCGTAATGGTTTTTATACTGTACAGACCGTATATTCTATTGCCCTACACCAACCCTACCCCTAAACCTACCCCTCACAGGAAACTTTGTGCTATTTCAAATTTTCAATGCACTCCATTCTGTGTGATTTTTAAGCGTTTTGAAATGTGGGGACATGGGGTAATGTCCTGAAAAGTCACCTTCTCCTTGTAATACCTATGTCATACCCTTGTCATTACACAAATTTGTCCTCATTTATCACAAAAACGTGCACAAACACACACACACACACAAATAGTCAAACGTTTGGTATTAAGATTTGAATGATTTAGAAAGAAATTTCTTATGCTCACCAAGGCGCCATTTATTTGATTAAAAATACAGTAATAGTGTGAACTTATTACAATTTAAAAGAAGTGTTTTCCGTTTGAATACATTTTAAATTGTAATTTATTCCTGTAATGGTAAAGCTGAATTTTTAGCAGTCATGACCCCAGACTTCTAAATTACTACATTTAAAAATTCAAACTTCAAAGAGAAAACAATTCAAAAAATTATTTTAAATTCAATTTATAAAAAAAATCAATTCAATTAAAAAAATTATTTCAAATTCACAATATTACTATTTTTACTGCATTTTGACCAAATTACAATGACATCGTAACTGTTGATTACATTTTAAATGCTGAGCATTTGCCTAGCAAGCACCATAATAGCAATACAATTTCTAATAGTAATAAAATTTAAGCAACACTGCACTAATTGCATTTGTGAATAAATGCTTTGATTAGCAATGCAACCATGACATCATTTTTGAATGCTCAGAACTTTTCCATGACATCAGCGGCAGAAGAAAAGTGTAAGTGAGAGGAGTGAGAGGGGTGGAGGAGCGTGTTTCTACTGATAGAGGGACAATAAATTCAAAGGAAATGGGGAGGACACAGTGAAATAGGAGAGAAAAGAGAGAGAGGGATGGAAAGAGTCTTCCAAATGCTCACCATGGTCCAGGACGATGTCTCCAGCCCAGCCTTCAGACACACTGTGATCACCACAAACTGTGAGAGAGAGACCGGTTCTTATCTGAGGTTGCATGTATACATAAACAGATTAGATTGTAAAGACGTAAGATCTAATGAGAGACAGTCAGCACACAGGAACTTCCAAACAGTTTCTGGTTGAAGTACAGTTTGAAATAGAGCAGATCAGCTTCATTTTCATTTCAGTGCATAAAAAGTCGTCAAAAAAGGCAGCGAAAATCCTCAGTGAGGCCAGAATCGGCACAGAAGGAACATTTCACAGCAAGACAACCGGGACAAAGTGTCAGGCGACGGGGAGGACACAGAGACACTTTGTGAGGATCTGAGGACCCAAATGCACTTACTGTATAAACCATGTTGCCTAAGAGGAGATAGTCTGGTGTCTTTCCGTTTCCAAAGACAGTATCTGTGAGGAGAATCAACAAGAAGGCTTTTAGCGTGAAGGATCACATGCTAACACACACATGTACATACAAACACAGGTCAGTGGGACAGTGCTAGATACTCCGTTAAGTTGTTGAGCTCAAGAGGGCTCTAATGCTCACATTTCAACAGACAAGATTACCAGAAAAGGACTGTTTACATACATGGTGGTGAAAATTAATTTAGACTTAATATGATTTAGAATCAGGATTTTTAACATTAGAGGAAAAAAATTAGGTATTAAGTCAAAAATATTATTCCACAAATGTGACCCTGGACCACAAAACCAGTCATAAGGGTAAATTTTTCAGAATTTGAGATTTATACATTAACTGAAAGCTGAATAAATACGCTTTCCATTGATGTATGGTTTGTTAGGAAAGGACATTTGGCCGAGATACAACTATTTGAAAATCTGGAATTTTCCGGGGGGGCGCAAAAAAAAATCTAAATATTGAGAAAATCGCCTTTAAAGTTGTTCAAATGAAGTTCTTAGCAATGCATATTAGCAATAAAAAATTAAGTTTTAATATATTTACAGTAGGAAATTTACTAAATATCTTCATGGAACATGATCTTTTACTTAAAGGGGTCCTATTATGCTTTTTCACTTTTTTAATTTTAGTCAGTGTGTAGTGTGTACGTTTGGGCATAAAAAAAGATCTAGAAAGTTACAAATCTCAAAGTCCACTCCAACGGGAGATATTTCGTTTAAAAAAAATCCCTTTTCAAGAACTACAACGAACGGCTCATTTGGACTACAGCGTTTGTTTTCCGGGCTTTGTGATCTCACAAAGCGGCCCATTAGAATATCATTAAAAATAATTCCCACCTACAGAAATCGAATGGTTGGGGGGTGGGGAGTTGCGAGGTTGTGGTTAGAACGCTTGGTTGAGTGAGTGCATCAGACGAGACGACGACGAAGAAGTGCTGCTGCAGAGTTAGTGCATCAGAGAAAACCAAGAAGAAGAGCTGCTGTGCTGTAGCTTCAAATTTTTGGCATGTCTAGAACAATTCTTACAAGTATAACACGTTGTAGCTGGGCGCCGTGGACAGACGCTGAACGGTGCCGCTGGTGTGCCTACACTGATAGAAAATAATGTATTTGAATTTTAAAGATGCGGCGTGACGGCCAGAAACCAGAAGTGCTGCTGCAGAGTTAGTGCATCAGAGAAAACCAAGAAGAAGAGCTGCTGTGCTGTAGCTTCAAATTTTCGGCATGTCTAGAACAATTCTTACAAGTATAACACGTTGTAGCTGGGCGCCGTGGACAGATGCTGAACGGTGCCGCTGGTGTGCCTACACTGATAGAAAATAATGTATTTGAATTTTAAAGATGCGGCGTGACGGCCAGAAACCCTGTTTTTTTTTACCTCCGTGCCCAAACGTCTTTGTTTGGGCTTCCGAAAGCGGATGATGTCATGAAACAGTGGTTGAAATTAATTTTTTAACTCTGTTCCTGAGCATTATAACCCCAATTTGCTATTGTGTGCTGCGCATTTTACTGAGGACAGCTTCCACAACAAGAGTGAGTACAGTGCTGGATTCGCCAAAAGCTTTTGTTGAAAGACGGAGCAAGGGGCGTGGCAGTACTGAAACACCGTCTAAGCTGTTCGCCAATCACTGGGACAGCTAACCAATCACAACACATTTTGTTTTTCGGAAGGCGGACCTTCATCAAAGCCGGAACTAATTGAGCCGTTTGTGCCAGGATGGGTAGAAAGGTATTTTAATAATGTAAAATATGTGAAAAATAATGTGTTTTTTGAACCATCAAGCATGAGAGCATGTTCTAGTACACCCCCAAAACAAAATCAAGACTTTATAAAAGAGCATAATAGGACCCCTTTAATATCCTAATGATTCTTGGCATAAAAGAAAAATCAATAATTTTGACCCATACAATGTATTTTTGGCTATTGCTACAAATATACCCCAGCGACTTAAGACAAATGCTATTGACAGAGCGTAACCTGTATTGAATAGAATTGTTTTCAAGATATTCTTCAATCTTTGACAGAATTTAAATGTAAAAAGTGTTGTAAAAAACATTCTCTAGGATGTCCTGTTAGGGTCAGAGCCATGGCCAAGTGGAGCTGTGGTGCTCATGTGGGTCATGCAAGTTTGCATCGGACCTCTTTACGGATTTCTACCCTTTCTCAAGAAAGTGGCCAAAAGCCAAAATAGCATTTATGCCCATTTAATCTGAATCAACAAACTTGCAACAAACTTATCCTCTTCTTATGACACACCTGTGCTCCCTGTATTGAATAGAATTGTTTTCAAGATATTCTTCAATCTTTGACAAAATTTAAATGTAAAAAGTGTTGTAAAAAACATTCTCTAGGATGTCCTGTTAGGGTCAGAGCCATGGCCTAGTGGAGCTGTGGTGCTCATGTGGGTCATGCAAGTTTGCATCGGACCTCTTTACGGATTTCTACCCTTTCTCCCCATTTCCCTTCCTCAAGAAAGTGGCCAAAAGCCAAAATAGCATTTATGCCCATTTAATCTGAATCAACAAACTTGCAACAAACTTATCCTCTTCTTATGACACACCTGTGCTCCAATGGTCATGTGCATAAAAAGTAACAGTGGGTGTAAAAAGAGCTGTTGACAGCTGTACAGAGAGGTTTGGAAAAGAGATCTCCCCAAATCATTGAGGATTAATTGACCGTAGAGACAATCTGGGTTTTCTTGACTTTTCAGCATGATAGCTATTGGCTTGTGCTAATTGCTTCAGCAAACATCTTCAATTAAATGGTCAAATCTGGAAAAGCCACTCACAAAAGTGCACACATGGCAGTGTGGTTTAGTGGAGTATTTGTCATTCTCCAATTGTAAGTGAGAGCGGATGATCCAAAACCATCAGCGCTCTGGCACAGTGAAACACAACGGACACCACATGTGGATCAGGAAGGTATGTGTGTTTCAGTGAGTGTGTGTGTGTGTGTGGTGCTGACAGGCTGTCAGTCAGACAGTCTCCAGTGCTTTGTTTAAAAAGCAGGTCTGATTCTGACTGTGTGGTCCTGCAGTCAGCCAGATAATTGTGCTGACACACACACACACACACACACACACACACACACATAAAATCTGTTCACATGCTTTACACACTCCTTTGTACATGCTTACACTTATGAATACATGTAAATAGCAATGTATAGACCATAGAGCAATTTACTAAATTATACCAAAAGGAATGCTGTCATTATTTACTGTAAAGCTTCGAAATTATAAAAAAAGAAAAGGTCAAAATTGTTAGTTATTGACTAAAATTGGCTGTTTTAGCTCTCCATGACATGTTCATGAGAGAAACAGTGATTTGTGAGTGAGTCATTATGAGCTGAATCTTTAAATGAATCAGTGGATCACATTCAAAAAGTTTAACTCACTAAATCTGAATAATCTGTTCACAAAGATTATCAGTGAAAGATTATCAGTAAACCAATAATTTTTTTAAAAATTAAATTAAAATTAGGCCCATTTTGTCACACAAAGAAATCATATGTCTTAAGATTTGGAATATAGTTCATAAGATGTATAGACTTATGATGAACTTATAGTGCAACATTTGAAGCTTGACAGCCACAGTCCTCATTCACTTTCATGACAGTATATTAAAAAAGTAAGTAATAAAGATATTTTTCAAAACTTCTGCTTTGTGTTTAATGGAAGAAAGTCATACAGGATTGGAACGGCATGATTATGACAATTTTCACTTTTGCATGAACTATTGCTTTTAATGAGTATGTGGAAATGGACAAAAAGAGAGTGTGTGCTTTTGTGTATATGAGTGATCTTGAGATATTCATGGTGGCCAATGAGAAGCAATTAAGCTGAAGCGAGAGTAGACAAGTCTTTCAATATGACACCCACTGACCTAAAAAAATAAAATAAAAAAAACCTAAAAGTAGTGTGAGAGAGTGTGTGTATGTGTGTTTACCGTGCTGGAAGGCCTTGAGGGGAAACCAGAAGAGGATGACTGAGTGAAACAGGCCATTCAGACAATGAGCCCAGAAGACCTGCAGCAGAGTGGAGGAAAAAAAAGAGAGAGAAGAGAGGCATGAGAAAGACGATGGCCACCCTAACCCTGCCGGTGACCTCTGACCCCGGGCCTTTGTGTGTTCTCAGCGCTAGGCTAAGTGGAAGGTTTGTCAGGCCTCCCTGCTCAATGGCCACCCCGCTGACAGACACTTTGTATATCCTGTGAGTGAGGAGAGAGCAAGAAAGAGGGAGAGGGGAGGCGTGCCAACTATATGAGAGATGTCAGTAAGGGGTGTTTTTCTGCCATCTCTTCTCTTTTCCCTGCAGTGAGTTGCCTCATTGAATTTCCCCAATCGTTCCTTTGCGAGTTGTGAAAAAAACCCAAATCCTTAACGGATACTTTTAGTACAAACACAGACAAGTTTAAGAAATTAAGATGTATGAGTCTGTCGCTACAGTGCATGGTTATTTGGAAGCATGGAAAAATTATCACTTACACAGGTACGGCATAAAGTCTTTGAGTGTGTGTGACTGTATACAAGGGCATGTGGACGTGCCACGATGTCAGTAAGGGGTGTTTTTCTGCCATCTCTTCTCTTTTCCCTGCAGTGAGTTGCCTCATTGAATTTCCCCAATCGTTCCTTTGCGAGTTGTGAAAAAAACCCAAATCCTTAACGGATACTTTTAGTACAAACACAGACAAGTTTAAGAAATTAAGATGTATGAGTCTGTCGCTACAGTGCATGGTTATTTGGGAGCATGGAAAAATTATCACTTACAAAGGTATGGCATAAAGTCTTTGAGTGTGTGTGACTGTATACAAGGGCATGTGGACGTGCCATTTAAACAAATATCCTCCTCCAAAACCGCCTTGTTTTGAATTTACATTATGCATGGACATGGCCAATCAAAACACTAATGGACGATGTAGCATAAAACAGCCGTGAAATAAAATCAGGCCAGTCAAAGGTCCAGTTTCCAAACCCCATTTTCTTTTTTGGTGTTGATCTTTTCACCTCTGCAAAGTCTGAGATTGTTCACTGCCCACAGACACAACAGATTATTCCCATATTTATAAGTAAAACAGCATAATACTTGAGCTGAGAGACAGTCAACAGTATTAAAATGTCAAAAAAAATTTTTTTTATTAATTCACTAAAATAAATACAAATTTCTCCATATGAACAAAAATGTTACTGGAATGAACCAGATTTGGAGTGTCTGCTAGAGAGGTCCATTTTGTGAATGAAACTGGTTCTTTTTAATGAGTCATTCAATTCAAACTGGTTCACAAAGTGCTTTAAGGAATAGATCACCCAAAAATGTAACTGTCAGCTTCTATGCTAATTTCGCTCAAACACTGTATTATTTCTATCAGTAAGGACTTTATGGCAATAACTTCACAATATAGTTCCATGTGAGGAAAAAGACAAATTCTTTATTCCATTATCAACACAAACTGATTTCCTTTTAAAATCATTTTAAAATGTAATAAAATATGTATTTTACAACAAATGTTGTACAAATAAACAATGGTGTGGATGTATGGGAATGCTTGCAAGTCATGCAAATGAATAAAATATCACACACACTTCCCTTCAAAATTTGGGGTCAGCAAGTCTCTTATGCTACCAAGGCTGCATTTGATAAAAAAATACAGTGAAATATTATTACAATTTAAAACGGTTTTAAAACTGTTTGATATATTTTAAAAAGTAATTTATTCCTGTGATGGCAGAGCTGTATTTTTTTAGTAGCCATCACTCCAGTCTTCAGTGTCCCTTTTGATCAATTATTGCATACTACCTGGATAAATGTATTAAATAAACATGTAAAAAAATCTTACTGACCCCAAAAATGAATCTAACTTTCCAAATCCAACAGTGTGGTGGTCATGAAACCTCTTGAGGGGGATGGGATGCAGAGAAATGAGAGGAGAATGAGAGAAAAGAGGAATATCCTGAGATTGTCTTGTTCCGTGTTGTTTCACAGAGGCCCTGTACGACCTCTCGGCCTTTCTGCCCTGACCCTCTCACCTCTGCTATCGGCAAAGCAAAACAAAGCTCAGGGCTCCGGCCCTCAGACAGTCGGCTCATCCTAAACCCACAAAACACACCGCAGAAGGGCACTATGACACACCCCTCATATTCTTTGGAATTAGTGGTGTTTGCTAAGTTCATACTTAAAATAAAAATGTTCATAACCCATCCTGTACTAAGCTATATGCATTAATCCATCTGCAGTGATTGCACTTCAACCATCCAGAACATCCCAGCAACTGCATAGCTACACATTAAAACACTTAGAAGACTCTAGCAACCACATTGCAATGCCCTGGCAACCACCCAAAACAAAACATGATCCAAGTGCCATGTGAAACCTGTACATGGCACTTGGGAAACCTGCGTAAAGAAATAACCTGTTCTCACCCTCGCCCGGTGCTTTACACGCACAGTCCTGCAATGAATGCTAATGAAATCAATAAATGTTCATAATCATTTGTCACAGGGAGGCCCCAAACTCCTCCGTTTCTAAGCAGGTTGCTAAGAATGTAGGTGTGAATGGCCGTCTGTCCTGCCTGAAGCAAAGCAGTGCATTCTGTGTGACAGCTTAATTGCTTAAACTAACATGAAAGGATAAACATTATTTTGTGCCAACTATTGCCAGACGCTCTAATAAGCCTTCTCCAACTATGTTGGGCTACAAATAAAGCCAGAAAGGGACAGAATAAAAGAGAGAAAGAGGCAGAAAAAGGGAGGGATAGAGGCTGCAGTGTGTTGAATGAGTGTAATAACCACTATCCTGGTGTCTACTTGGGGCTTTCTCATTATTAGGGAGACTTTAGTGTCAAAGCAATGTAATTAAATGTGAAAGGGGACATGGTGGGTAAAGACCTAAATATTTCACACTCTTTGTTGCTCCCTGATCTATTGCATGATCTTTCACTCTCTGCTTCCACAGACTTTATTTACAAATAAAGTGTCTGTTCTGTACACAGATGGCGTGTATAAGTCTGAAACAGGGACGTAGCACATGCACAGCTGGTCCAATCAGCAAATAAAAAGTCATTAATGTCTCCAATAACATCTATATGAACACTTCAATATATATATATATATATATATATATATATATATATATTTGAACATAACATATAATTTACATTAAACAATACTAAAACTAATGCAAATCTCAGACTATTTCAGTAGTAGTAGTACACAAATATTTTAGACTGTTTTTGTGAATGAGTCAAAGATCTGACTCAAAAGAACAGTTGGTTCACAAATCAGACATTGTTATTCAACGAATGAATCCAGCATTTTCTACTAAACATCTAAAAACTCTATCATTGCCTCTTTTTTCCAAGCAAACCTTTTGTCCTCGCTACTCCATTATAGAGAAAATAACAGAATTCAGTCTATGACATACACAAGTTAGCAGAACATCATAGCAACCACACAGCAATGTGCTGAATAACACTTATAACACCTTGATACCATATAGAAATGCCCTGTCAACCAACCATTTTAAATTACATTACACAATACTACTTCTCTGCCCATTTCAGTCTGATTTGTAAGTAAATAGTTTAGACCAGTTTTGTGAACTGGTTTAATTGATTCAATAAATTTTTTTTTGTACAATTAGTTTATATATCAGACACTGCTATTCTAGAGATGATGAAAAAGAATCTTTGATTCACAAATTGGACAACGCTATTCCACAGACGATCTCATTACTTCCCTCTATACATCCACTAACTCCGTCTTTGCTTCCTTGTTTCCATGCAAATCTATCATTCTCATCATTTCATTACAGAAAAATAACAGAAAGCACGTTACGATATATCTAATATATATACAATTAACCCTTTTCCAACAAGAAACGGTTCTGTTATTGATTAATCCTTTTTTTTTTTCATTGAACACGTTTGAACACAAAATGATGGTGTTTGTGTTACAAATGGCCAGTAAATCGGTCTTTCCCTCTCTTTCTCTCCTGACCCCAGGGGTTGTGTTGTCTGTAATCTGTGTCAGTGTGGTGGTAAATGGGTCTCCACGCCTATGGAGCAGGGCCGTGAGGTGACACCAGCGCAGACACGCCGGAGCTGGAGACCAGACAGCTTTATTAACACAAAGAGATACAAAGCCAGCAGTCACAGACACCAAGAGAGGATGGAAATATGCTTGTCCTACATAGACACTAACACTATCAAGGTCTGAAAGTGAAGGAGTTGCATAAAGAACATCTATTATAATTTTACTAGGACATTTCTAGCATCATAGGGATCTAAAATCTGGTTAAATGCCCTTAAGATTAAAGATAAACTTGATTATAACTTTTATTAATAACATTAACAAACATTATTTTAAATAATGCTTTAAAGACCAAGTAAATGTACATACAAAAAGTAGGAAAGTCAAAAACCTTTGCCTTATTTATTTTTATATACATTCATATATTATAGACTCTGCGTGCACAATTTTGAGTTTATATATACAGTTTTGAAAGACTAAATTAGGAGTGTCTTTATACGTATACCTATCAGACATTGTGGACAAAGCTTCACATTCATACTGGCCTGGAATAGTTTATGACCTTCTAAAAAGGGAGATGAACACTCAAAAGACATCTCAGATAAGCAGAAAGGCTGACAGAGAGGGACAGTTTAATGGATGGCTAAACCAGCAAGGTACTGCTGTTGACCTGCATTTTTACGGTGTAGAAAGTCGTAACAAGATCTGTTTGTTTAGTGGAGTTTTCAGCCTGGGTGCCAAACTGTTCACCAAACAGGTCAGAAAAGTGTACTCAGCATGACCTGTCTACAGGGTCGTTGTCATCATCATCATCAACGGAAATTCACTAAATCACTAGTTTATTATCTATACATTTATCTCCAAGAGATTCATTACCTTATGGCATACATTTTAAGAATTTTTCAGATTATAAATATGTGTTTCATCTGCTATTTACATCATTCCTTAATCAGTGGGCTGTTCATTTCATCAGTGCAAACACTGATGGAGATTCAGCTAAACTTAGATTTATACTGCATGTTTGAGTGTATTTACCTTGGTGTTGAAGCCCATTGCATTCTGGGAGGTTTTGTAGAGTTCAGGATATTTAAGCATGTTCTCTTTCCTGCAGGAGCGTTCGAAGATGCCCAGAGTCAGAGGAGGCAAAGCAGTGAAGAGCTGAATAAACATACAAACGAAAAAAAAAAAAACTCAGATAATTAAACTGAAAGGCAAACTGTTATGCAGATAATATAATTTATAATACAAATAGATATTAGGGACCCACTGCAATGTCTTTCCCAAAGATATTATCTTAGGATATTATTCCAAGATATTATCCTAGTCCTCATTACAGAAACTACTTTGTGATGAACTGAGACGATAAACTGTTAAATAAAACAAATAAATGCAGAATCAATACCTAAAAATACAAAGCATTCTAAAGAGAACTATTTCCTAGCCTGAGCAGCAGATGTGTTCCCCCTTGTCTGCTCTTTTCATTTGCTTGCTTGGTGCAGCTCAATGAGCATGAAACTATCTAGCATTTATCATATTTGCACTCTCCCTCCGTTTGCAAAAATCATTCCAAATGTGCTCTAACGTTTCTTTGTGCAGCAGCTGTTGAAAGCGAGAGGGGTGGTATTATGGTCCAGAGAGGGTTGCGGGGTCAGCCATAAGTGTCTCTCACAGGCCCAGCTGAAGTTGCCTGGCTGTGGCTGACACAGTCACCTGGGCTCTTCCATTCAGGGGTGATTTCAGCCTTTTTTTGCATCCAATGGACCCCCTCTGACGCGATGGAATTCCTCCTCTCTCAGATAAAGAGAGAATGCGCCAGGCCAAGATATTACTGGCCTCACAATGCCAATTATCCATTATACAGGGCTGATGGGAAGCAGTGTTCAAATTTTTATTCTTTGTTCAGGCGTAAAGATATAATTTCTTGGGACAATCAGCGAGTTGGGTGGCTCGGTCATTTTTCCTACTGCCTAAGTTCCCAAGTTGTTAATGCAAAATGGAAAAACGTACTCCACCCGGAGCATTTTTTTCCTGAATAACTTTCCTTCCTGTTGAAAACATGTTAATTAACAGCATCAATTCCTATCACCAAGCCCTAAGGCAGCCCAGTTCACAGGACTCCACCCAAACGGCCATGTGTGTGTATTTAAATGTGTCTGGATTCAACCTGTTCCTTTATCATCCACCGCTGACCTGTTTAATGCAGCTCTTTGGGGCATGAGCGTCTGTTGTTGCAGCACATTCAGGACATAGTTCTGGGCACGGAGGGAATAAGGACTTGACAAGCAGTCATAAATAAGAGGGAGATTTTTCAGGATGGCGCTGACATGGGTTGCAGTAAAGGAGCCGTCTGGGGTGCCGCGGCTAATGAGTTTCTTGCCTGAGCGCGACAGGGGAGGCGTTTTAACACATTCCCTCTCAAAGTAATGAAGAGGGGAGAGTAAATCACACTCAGACAGATGTGTGAATGCAAACACTCTTACCACGTTGTACAGGCCGATGCACCAGCGCTCGAACAGAATCTGACCGGAGAAGCCATTCACAAATGCAAACCAGATCTGAAAGACAAAAGACAACGGAATGGTAAACGACTCATCCATGCGAATATATAAAACGGAATTTAACATTTGACCCCATTAAGTAAAACACATTATTAAAATAAACCATTGAAATATATTAATAATAATAATTTAATTTAAATTTATAAATATAAAATACAATTAAACTATTACATGAAATTAAATTATCATTCAAAAACAAGAAACAAAACCAGTCTTTTAGTACATGTAATGAGATGCACTGAAAAAAAAAAAAAAGGGGG